TGAGTGTCACACTTAAAATACATTTGCAAAAATTAACTAATTGCAAGTACAAAACATCAAAAGCAAACCCTTTTTGTGAGGGGATTCCTCGAAATATGAATGTCATGTACAGTCATTATGGAAAAAAGATATCCTTATTTTGTTTTGTTTTTTGATTTTAATAACTCTAAGCACCGTATGTGCATATAGACTTGACTATCTGTTTGAAAAACACCCATAATGCCCGTTTCTGTGTTGCAGCATGCATACCAAGTTACCCTTTTGGTATTGAGCAGCTCTGGTTCCTCTGGCCTAAGACTGTTATGTGTTAGCGTCTGACTCACTGTAGTTTGGTAAAACAGGTCAGATTAATTAAACATGCCTTCTCATTGGTTGGCAGCTTACAATTCACGCTACTCATTAGCATAATTACTACCTCGAAAACATGGTGGTAATTAAAAATGCCATGGCAGAACAGATAAGATAGATATCACAAATTAGTATTTAAAGCAAATATCATGAAAAAAATGCCACAGCTGGGCCAGTCTACATGTGAGCCCAAAATTAGTAGTTTAGATTGAATTTTTCAAATTAGCCAAACTGGCACTGATCCAGTGTTGATTTGTGCTAACAAGTCATTTTTGTCAGCATGTGCTTCTATTAGCGAAAGTACGCTAACACTTTGCATTAATTCATCAGTTACTTGTTTATTTCCTCCATCATACAAGTAGATCCAGTAAAATTAGTTCAAAAGCACTGAAGTGAATTGTTCGTTGACCAGTCAATACATGTAGATTAAGTAGCTACTGACCGTTGTGAAATAATTGTACACAAAGTCTTGTGTCTGTCAAATAGATTTCAATCGTCAATTCAAATTTGTGAATAGACAAGTCTGAAATTTGAGGAATATTAATTTTTTTATTTCCTGTAACCTGTACCAGGTAACCCCCCCCCCCCCCCATCATAGCTTAATAATGACTGATAGCATCACAGCAAATGTACATCCAGGGAACAGGGACTGTGCATTCTCAATGCTTGTTTATTTGTTGAGCAGCAAGCAACAAATCAGTCGAATTGAACATTTAACATTTACATAATATTCCCATATCAAAATGTCTTATAATCATTGATAATAAATAATTAAATCCATGTTTTTGTTTTTTGTAGGTATTGGGGTTGATGATATGTTTATAATGGTAGCGTCATGGCGAACCACATCACGACATAACAGCGTTGCTGATCGAATGGCGGAGACATTTTCCGAAGCGGCACTGTCTATAACAATTACCAGCATCACCGATGTATTGGCGTTTGGAATCGGAGCTATTTCAACTTTTCCATCAGTTCAGATATTCTGTTGTTATTGCGGCGTTGCCATTCTATTTGATTATTTATTTCAAATTACTTTTTTCGCTGGATGTATGGCTCTCATTGGGCGGCGTGAACATAGCAATAGACATTGCCTCACGTATCGAAAAGTTGTACCAAGAAGAGAAACATCGTCGGTATGTTATCGCTTATTTTGCGCTGGTGGTGTCAGTAAGAAACTGGACAAAGATAAAAAGGTACACGAACACATAATGGTGACATTCTTTGACAAGTACTATGGCCCATTCATTACTCTTCCTTGGATGAAGTTCTTCACGCTGATCTTCTTTTTAGGGTACCTAGCGGGAGCGGTTTGGGGGTGTATGCAGATACATGAGGGTTTGCAGCCACGCCAGCTAGCGCTTGAAGATTCGTACAGTTCATATTATTACAACATGGAGGAACGTCATTTTAATGAGTATGGACCCATAGTGCAGGTGGTTGTTGATTCAAAGCAGCGATATTCCAATAAACAGACACAGAATGAGATAGAACAAGTCTTGACGAAATACGAAAATGATAAATATTTTTACAACCACATTACCCAATCATGGTTGAGAGACTATATAGTCTTCATCGACCAAAACGGATTAAATTACACCAATGAGGAAACTTTCATATTTCATTTAAAGAGTAACTTTCTAACTCATCCTTTGTATAAACATTATGTATCGGATATCACCTTTGAAAACAGTACTATTGTATCCTCTCGATTCTTGGTTGTTTCTCATTTTGTTAATGAGGTTACGGAACTTCAGGGTTTCTTGCATCGATGCAGGGATATTGCGGGAAATTCCAGCATTTCCATGTTTGCCTATCATCCAACATTCGTTTTCAACGACCATTTTGATGCTATTTTACCCACCGTTATTCAAAATGTTTTAGTTGCCGCTGTTGGTATGATGGCGGTTTCTTTAATCCTGATTCCTCGTCCCATATGCTCTCTTTACATCACTGTTACCATAGCATCAATTGTAGTCGGTGTTATGGGTTATATGTCACTGTGGGGTGTTGGCTTAGACTTTGTTTCTATGGTAACAATTGTAATTTGTATAGGTTTCAGCGTTGACTATTCTGCACATCTTACGTATGCATTTGTTAGGTCTTCTGAGGAGACGCGTGATGCCCGTACCATTTATAGCTTATATTCTCTTGGTTTTCCTGTCTCACAAAGCATGCTTTCTACATTATCGCAATTGTTGCCATGTCAACAGCAAATTCTTACGTGTTCAGGGCAGTTTTTAAAACTCTGTTCTTCGGAATTTTCTGGGGAGGAGTACATGGGCTTTTATTTTTACCAGTTCTCTTGTCTGTGATTGGTCCAAAGGGTTCCAGAAAACCGGTGACCAATGGCAAGATGTATGATTATGATATTTCCAACCGTCAAATGTTGAGATTTTGGGCGACACAAGAAAAATATGTAGTGGATCTGCAGGTATCGACAGTTTGAATTTTATGAAATTTTTGCGGTTAGTACAATAAATTATGGAATAGGTACAATAAAAATAAACTTAAAAAAATTAAAATACAATTGTTTTATAAAACAAAAGGGTAATTATGTACATAGTAAATGTTTGTACCTCGGTCTACAAAAGCATTGCTTCTCTCATTAGCATATATTTTGAATACAGATGTTTAAATTCAATGTTAATTTCACCAGTTATTGTACAATGTAATTTGTAGAAATTTAAAGAAAATCATTTCTTTCGAGTACTGAAATAGAAAACTTGCATTTAAGCACTGCCTTAGTAATTTTGACACGTACATGTTAATCATCATGTATTATGGAATTGTCATTTGAAAAAAATGATCCGGTACGTGTTTCTCACCCATAACTGTAATCCTAACCTTGCCCCTCTGTGCCCTCCTCAAATTTTACGATAATTGTATATGCCTCTACAATTACACGAGGGCGGTGGTGGTGGAGTGTTAGGGGTGAGGGGTCTTATAGGAAACTCTTTTCAACTACCCTGTATGAAAGTATGGGGCTAACAATGCTCCACTGCATCGTGTTGAAAACAAGTACAAAATAATTTAAATAAAATTAACAGTTTTGTTTTCAATGATACTAGAAACAAGCTTGTTTATTTGTTTGATTGAATTGAGTTGTACCACAACTGTAAATTAGGCTAAAAAAAACAACAACTTATGTTGCCCTCAATGCGGAAAATTGGGTTGGTCGGTCGTTTTTTTTTGTTTTTTTTTAAACTTGTGAAAACTAAGGGTATTGTCAATTGCCAAGGTATATGGGGAAAAAAGCGCGACCCGACATTTCATATTATTCGGTCAGTCGGTCGCTGAGGGTAACAAAACAATTTTTTTTTTTGGCCTTATATCAGCCAAAGAGTAAACCATTTCTCTGTTACAGAGTTTTCCTCACAAAGTGAATTTATTACCATAACGATTTATACTTTGCAGGTGATTAAGTGTATTGTTATGCAAATTGTGTTTAAAACATTTTTTTTGCTCAATTATCTACCCACCTGTTATTTTATAGTTTTTTCTACAAATTTGTGCTGTGTTATATTAGTATCAACGTAAGAGTTGTGTTTAATGCCACCGAATATTATGTATACTACTGTAAAAACAATGTGATAATATTATTCAAATAGGAGATCATAGTAAAGCCACTTATAAAGTGGAGATAATTTATTTACATTAAAAATAATGCTTTCAGCAAGAGTTCCTTTTGTACCCCCCATCCCTAACCCTAACCCTCAATTCCAGTTACCTAATTCATTTGTATATGCCCCTCTAGATAACTATAGGAGGGGCATGTACAATTAAATGGGGAGTGCTGGAGGGTAGGGTTAGGGTTAGAGATACAAAAGGAACTCTTTCCCTTATAAATATCAATTATTTTCAAATAGTTTTAATTAAAGAAAGCTTATAGTATTGCGGTACTGTTTACTTTGTTGAATCTACAAACATGCAGGTTAGATGTGTACTTGCTTACAAATTGTCACTTTTTGTAATAAAAAGAGATATAATCTTGATGTGTGATATTTTTATGACCAGTGTGAGAAGAAGTCAAAAACAGTTTTGTTACTGTTTTGTTAGTATGAGTGTCAGTTTTGAAAGGTGCATGGCACAACACGCACTAATAAAAGAAAAAATCTAAGGACTAGAACATTTTTTTTAGTCTAAAAACACTGAATAGCAACTGACTAGCAGAACACTGACGAGCACAACTACGAAACACCGACTAGCAAAACACATCAACATAAACAATACTAGGAGTGAGTCCATTTGTTTTTGTGAATCTTTTGTCGCCTGTACTTTTGGGAGTCGCAAGACACTGAAAATAATAATATATTGTATTATTATACATCTGTCACGACATAAGTTACAGCGTGACGTAATTTTGTAGAGTATTGTCATTCTACCATATAAGGGAACGCAAATTCCAAATATGGAAGGATTATGCGTGTAAGCGTCATCTAATAACAAACCTGGCTGCCATCGGGGTTCGATCGGACTTCACACAAAGAAATTTTTTGGACTTTTTGGATTTCAGCATTTCCATGATGTATCCGTGGAAGGAAACGATGTATAATAAGGTCAGACAGTACAGTACTCAGACAGTACCTCGTCGCATCGACCACCACTGCGTGTTGGTCGATACTGCCGCTGTACTGTCTTCGTGCATACTTTGAGGTATTCTCGTAATAACCTTTTATTATCATGACTTTTCCACTATCAAACATTTCCTTATTTAGAATACTATTACTACGCTGACAATGTGAGCTGATCACACATTTATATTCATATTACATTTTGCACAGCATTTTTGATTTCTCAAATTATATAAATTGTTTTAAACATTTTTATTTTACTACTTTATACTAAAATATGTTTGGATATTTAGAGTACTAACAAATTCTCATGTCCGGTCCGGTTAGACTTTAAATACACCACAAATATTCACTTTCGAGATATAATTTTTGGTATGTTTAATATTAAAGAATATTTGTGCAAGCAAAAACAATACTGACCACATGATGACCTAAGAAACAATTCTATTTTTTTTGGTTACCAAACTTCTTGTTCAAAGGGAAAAAGAATGTTCTTGTAAAATGGAGAACAATTACCTAATTTTCCATGTTTCACTGATATATCTAAAAACACTTTAAATAAAAATTGGTACTGATTGGAGAGGAACATGGCATTATATTCAAACTTTTTATCATGATCATGCATATTGGGATACAGGTGCATGTCATGTTATTTCTATTCCAGTTTTCTCTGGAATGCAGTGACCCATTTAGTTCTGTGTGTGTGTGTCTCTCTCTCTCTCTGACATTCTGACTTGCGGTTTCAAAAAAGAAGTTGAAAATGTAAAGTTGACAACGACGACTGACAGTAATATAAACAGTAGTTTGTCTGTTTACACATATTTTATTTACTCTGATTACAGGTGGATACACAATTAATATTAATGTCCAGTTACATTACACTGGTAGTCAAATTACATTTATATATGTAAATATCAAACAAATCACAAGAATCGCTGTAAGTACAATTAATTATACATGATATTCCTCTATTATAAGTATTATAAGTATTTCAATAATTTTTGAATCATGCCTATCATACAGAGTACTGTAAAATCTGTATTAGAAGTCGTGGCTTCTATAAACAAGCAGCCTCTCGGCTGAGATAGCTCCGCTGTTAGCAATGCACATTTCAATTAAAGAACAGAAGATATCATTAGAAAATGAACAATATGTATAGTATCAAGCA